GATAAAAAAGTCTCTGGTCCAGCTCTGCAAGCATGTGTATCTTTTCTGTTTTGTCAGTTTTGCCAAATTGCCCACACAAAGCATGGGCCAGTGGATAGCATGGCCAGTGGCCAGTGACCAGTGAGGGAGCTGCTTCCCTCTATACTTTCGAATTCCCCCTAAAGTTCCTGCAAGCAGATGCTACCTGACAGTGCCAGGTTTCTGCCTTTGAATTCACCTCCTGAGCAGAGCCTCCTCGAGCCATAACAGGGCCAAGCCCAAAGGGAAGTGACTAGCTCCTGTGGGGATTCTTGTTGCTGCTGTATTGAGGCTCAGCAGCACCAGGAAAGAGCCGCGGCCCATGGTGTCAGCTCCAGAAGCGCAGGTCTGCTTCCTGCTGTTTCTGGAGCCCATCTGTGCGGTCTGGCATTGAAACCAGGTCAGTGAGAGGAGGTGAGTGAGGACTCAGTGGTGAGAAGCAGGGATAGGAGCTGAGCTTATTTTGAGCAGTTGCTGGGCATAGGGGTTCACTCCACATGTGCTCATTTTGCAGATTTGTGTGTGTATGTGTGGTAGTGAGAATTGAACCTAGGGGCTCAGCACTGAACTACATCCCCAGTCTTTTTTAAAGCAAGCATGGTTGCACATAGCACTCAGGAGGATGAGGCAGGAGCATTCAGGAGCATTGCCATGAGTTCATTTCCTGGCTGTACTTCATAGTGAGTTCAAGGCCAGCTTGAACTACATAGGGAGACCTTGTAAAAACAAAAGCCGTAATTTTTTTTTCACTTTTGAAATTTTGAGATAGGATCTTGCTGTGTTGCCCAGGCTGTAGTTGAAGTTGTGATTCTTCTGTCTCAGCCTCCCAGAATGTTGTGATTATAAGTGTGCACCACCATGCCCAGCTTTCCACAGATTTTTAAGTGCCCACACTATGCTTATTGCTATGAAGTTATGGGGATCCAGCAGAGATCAAAATAGCAAGGAGTCTCTGCCTTCACCATGCTGACATTGTAGAGCAGAGAGGGGCAGTAAACAAGTAAATGTGTTCAGTAATGTCCATGGTGGTAAATCTTACCGAGAAGAATAAAGAGCGAAGGGGGTGCAGTGGGGGATTAGGAAGGCTTCTCAAAGTCCTCATGAATAGCCCCCTCCCCCAGCAGTGCATGCAGAGCTGCTGGTGTGCAGATGCCCCTGGACTGCAGTGCCTTGGGGACATGAAGGGAGAGGGTGCAGAGTCGTGTGGTCCTTGGGCTCCTATCAGGAGTTTGGTACTTGTTCTGTGGATGGGGCACAGGACCATTTGAGCAGAGGAGGGGTGTGATTTTGTGGCCACAGACCCCAGCCTGGAAGAAGGTATGGGCCAAGCACTAGGACCCAGCTGGGCCTTCTAGTCCCAGTGAGTGGCAGGAACCATGGTGACTTTTTAAAAAATTTTAATGTATTTGGTACAAGGTCTTACTACATAGCTTCAACTTGTAGTGATCCTCCTGTTTTCAGCCTGGCCATCGTTGGGATTACAGGTGTATGTCACTATAACCACTCTTGGTGGCCATTTCCCCGGCAGGGCTGGTGCGAATGTGGTGCTGGGGATTGAACCCTGGTCCCTGTGAGCAGGCACTTATGTCACTGAGCTGTCTCCCCAGCCTCCCCAATGACTCTTGTAACACACTTAGTTCCTTCTGAGGCTGCCCAGCTAGGACAGGTGGTCATGTGAGGGCTCTTCCCTTCCCCTCTGCCCCTGAACTGCCAGTTCAGGTGCTGTAGCCTCATGGAAATTGCCCCTTGGGGATTTGAACCCTGACTGTGAGACATAGCTCTGGAGAAAGGGGTGTTCAGTTTGGAAACTGAACTATTGAGAAGTACTGCAAGCCAGACAAATGCAAATGAGTGTCACAGGTAAAATTTAAAGTCATGTACTATAGAGTGTTTGAGACGTAAGGCTAGATTAGTCATTGATACCCATGTATGTAGCAGCTATTTAAAAATATCTTACCAAAAATAAATAAAATTTTTTAAAAAACGTAAAAAGATAAAACTTTGCTGGGGAGATGGCTCAGTGGAATAAGCGCTTCCCTGACAAGCGCAAGGGCCTGAGTTCAATCCCCAGTTCCGCCAAAAAATTAAAAAAAAAAAAAAAATCTTACCATAAGCTGGGTGTGATGGTGCATGCCTATGATCCCAACACTTGGAAGGCTGAGGCAGGAGGATTGCAGTGAGTTCAAGACCAGCCTGGTCTACACAATTCGACTCTGTCTCAAAAAATTAAAAGAAAAAAAAAAGGGAAAACCATAAAATCCCCTCACCATTACAGCACACCACCAGTACAGCAGATCCTCCTTTGAGGGCTCTTCACTTACACGCACACACACCTACCCACCCACTCCGGTGATCACTGAGTGTCAGTGGGGCTGGAAGCTGCTACCACCCAGCTTCCTCCTGGGGGCAGGCCACTTCTCCAGTGGAGTCAGGGTACAGGAGGGAGCATCAGGGGTGTCGCTGGCCTGTGGCCACCATGCTGAGAAAGAGCCCAGGATCGAAACCCAGATCCCCTGCACTGGGCAGTCCTCCTCGCCCCTGGATGCTGGGGAGGGGGGTGCCTTGAGGCAGGTGCCTTGAGGCCTTGCTGGGCATGTGGGGCGAGGGAAAGGAGGGGCCCAGTTTGGAACCCTCCAAGTCATCTGAACTCCCAAACGCAGGTTCTTCTGTAACTACTTCTCTGATAAGATATGGAAGAAGAGTATATTAAAGATACTTCGTGCAGTGCAACAGAACCAGTAACTGTGACCATATCGGAGCATTAGTTCCCAGAAATCCTCCCTGTCAGCTACTCCCCAGCACAACCAGTCCTGCCTTTGTGATATTTGTTTCTCTTGATTTTTCTGTGTCGTTTGATAAGTGAGAAAAGCATCCCATGCTTTCTGATGGGTTTTGGTCTTGCTGGGAGTGAACTCATCCTTGGCTGTGTGATTTTCTGTCGGTTTCCTCCACTCAGTCTTCCCATGATTTTCTGCTCCCTCCCCATGGTGTCTGAGCAGCTCCATCCTGCTTAGTACTGCATTCCACATATGAATGTACTGGTGTCTTCTTCCATTCTCTTGTGGACAGGCTCCCAGATGACCAGCTTGCTAGTCAGTATTGTTCTTGTGAACCTCTTCGTATGTGTCTTTTGGGAAATGTGTAGTTTCTTCTAAGGAGTGTAGAATTGCTGGTTCGTGGGCTGAGTGTATAATGAGTTATAACCCTGATTGCCAGTGTTCTGCAGAGGTTGAACTGTCTTACACTCCTACCATCAGTGAGTAGGAGTTTTGATATCTCTTCATCCTTGCCAGCCCGCTGTTTTTTTTTTTTTTTTAACCTTAGGTGTCCTAAGCAGGTGGTTCTAATCTGCATTTCCCTTAAATAATGAGATTATGTGTGTGCCTTAATCATTTGCCTGTCTTTGTTCCTTTCACCTGGCCTGCCAGGTGGCTCACATCTGGTCAGCAGCTGCAGCTCTAGTCCGGGCCCTTAGCGCATGCAGGCCTGACACCCTAGGAAGCAGCTGGTGGGGATCAGCTTAGCAGGGACTGCCTGCTCCTCAAGGTGCTGTCTACAGGGTGGGTGACAGCCCCCCTGTGCTGCTGGGGTTCCTGAGGCAGGTCTGTGTCCTCAGCCTGCAGCTCCCTAGTGGGCAGGCCATCCGCTTGGCTGCACTGCCTGGTATTTCATCACTGTAGGACTGTGTCACAGACACCTCAGCTGAGGCGCCACCCTCAGTGGGAGGACGGGGCAGGATCCAGGCGGACGCAGGGGATCTTCCAGTTCCTCCCCCTGCTCTTGCCTGAGCTGCTGCTGACTTCTCACTTGCTGAAACGAGACGGTAAAAAGTGGCTCTGGCAGGCTGAGCAGGGCCAGGGCCTCGGCCATTCTCAGCTGGGAGAACCAGGTAAATGGCTTCCCTGCTCTGAGCCTCTGTCCTCACCCGTCCACAGTTCTGGCCCCTCTGGTGGGGTGTTGGGACTGCTGGCGTCCTGCCCAAGGCCACCCAGCTGGCCATGGTTTTCGGACTCTGGAACCCTGACTGCTCTTGGTCATACCTGAATGCCTTCCCTTAACTTTCGAATAACGTTAGCCATGTACTTGGTTGTTGACCGGCCGCCAGGTAGTGGGCTGAGTCCTGTGCCCGCAGTAGGTATTTAAGCGCTGCCAGTAACCCTGGTGCTGCGAGCTTTAAGAGGTGATAGCGCTGGGCCAGTGAGGGCAAGAGAGACTTAAGACAGGATGCTGGGCCTCAGTTCTGTTTCTTTTTTCTTTTTCTTTTTTTCTTTTCTGTTTCTTTCTTTCTTTCTTTTTTTTTTAAGCGGAACCGGGGTTTGAACTTAGGCCCTTGCGCTTGCCAGGGAAGCACTTATTCCACTGAGCCATCTCCCCGGCCCCTTTTTTCTGTTTCTTTGTTGACTACCCTTCATCTTTTTTTTGTTTGTTTGTTTTTTGAGATAGGGTCTCATTATGTGGTTCAGACCACTGTCAGACTCACTGTATAGTCCAGGCTGGCCTCAAACTTGCAGCGATCCTCCTGCCTTAGCCACTTGAGTGCTGGGATTACAGGCATGCGCCACCATGCTGCAGCTCCCTGGCATAGCTCAGAAGGCCATCCATCATGTTCTTCCCTAGCTTCACTAGAACCCAGCTCCTTTCCATCTCAGGGCCTTTGCATTTTCTGTTCCCCAGCTTGAAGTTCCTTTCCCTGTGCTGCTGTACCACTCCCGTGATTACTTTCTGGGGCTGTCACCCCCCACACACCACCCCCTTCCAGTGACACCACATTCCCTACCAGTCCTTCCCTTTACTTATTTACTGTGGCAGTGCCCTTAACCACCTGATGTGCTCTGTGTGTGTGTGTGTGTGTGTGTGTGTGTGTGTGTGTTTCTGCCATCCTGCCTTCTGGAGTATGAGCTTCATGAGACACACCAGGGTCTCTGCTACCAGCCCCAACAGTATCTGCTGCTCAGAACACGCAGAGAAGATTGTCAGCGTGGTAGAAGGCAAGCATTTCTGTGGCTGTGCCCTGTCTTAGGCTGGCTCTCTGGAGAGCCTTGAGCCTGTCTGCTCCTTGTGCTCAGCAGGGTCAGGTCCACTGAATTAACACTGAGAGCACTGGTTCACTGAGACCTCCAGAAGGAGGGAGAAGAATGCACAGAAGGTACAGAGGATGGAGGCCAGGGTGAAGGGCTGGAGAATGGGGAGGGAGGAAGACTGAAGAGGCGTGCTGAGCACTGTTGTAGCAGAGGGTTGGTGTTGGCCTGCAGGGCCTCCTCAGCATAGGAAGGATTGTGTTCTGAGTCTGCACACTGGGCAGCCAGGGAAGGGTTTTGAACAGGAAGGAGCAAGGTAGTTTTAGGTAGAGTTGGGGGTCAGGAGCAGAAGCCGTGGTAGAAGCCCCAGGAGGAGACCTGGGATCTGGGGACAGGTCCCAAGCAGTGGTGGGTGTTGTGTAGGCTGAGTGAGCAGCAGAGCAGCAGGCAGCCAGAACTCAGGGCAGCAGAGGTGGGTCCTAAAAGGTCTTGACCGCTAAGCTGAGGAGTTTGACTTTTTTGCCAAGGGCAGCAGGGAGCCATGGAAGGGTTTCAAGTAGGAAATGATATGGTCGGATTTAGGGTCGCTTTAGCTGTCAAATGGTAGAATGTTGGGGCGGGCAGGGAGGAGGCAGAGTAGGGCCTTACTAGCCAGGTCTTATGTAGGGTGGGTAAGGAGAGAGGTGTGGGGTGTGCATCCGAGCCAGGTGGTTACTACATTAGGGGTTGACTTAACTAGCATATTTGGGCTGAGGGCTCCAGCTGTCTCGTGTGTTCCGGGTAGGAGTATCGTGCCTGCTGGGAGGGGAGGCCCCTATTGCTGTTCCTGGCCCCTGGTCCTTGCCTTTGCAAAACTTGGAGTCCCACAGTGGTTTCTCACCCTTCTGTTTACTTCCCCGTTGCTGTCCATCTTGCCTTCCCTCCCGCTTCCTCCCGTTTACCTCCCTTCCTTTGCCCAGGACCTGGGCAGCCTGCCACTGTCACATGCCAGGCAGTAGTATGTCCAGCCCACCAGCTCCCCTGGGGCACGAGAGAAAGCTGATGCCCAGGGTGTCCCTAGAGCCAGCTGCCATTTCTCTAGGGGCCACTGTAGCTCCTGACCTGCTGTCCGCAAATAACCCCAGGCTGGGAAAGACGAAAGGCGCCTGGGGCTCCATGGCCCCAGTCCAGGGCCCAGGCTCCAGGTAGGGGCCCAGCTGGCAGCTGCCTTGCGCCCTTCTCCCTTCTTCGGGAACCTGAGACGCAGCAGCAGCCTCCTCGGCGTCCCTCAGTCTGTCGGCTGCTTGTTCCTGAGGACAGAAGCAGAGGTCTTGGGGAGGGGACCAGGACTGTGATCAAGCCCCAGGACTGGCTGCTCGGCCCCAGCAAGTACACATACAGTAGGTTACTTGTCAGAATTCTGGGGCCCAGAGCCTGGGACACTTGTCTTTCCTGTCATCTGCTGGGGGCAGAGAGGGAACTGAGGCTGAGGACGTGGCTGCTGGCCCAGTGTGGAACAGACTCAGGGCTTTGGGGAGAGCTGTGTGTGTGCTTAGTTTGCTGAAGGTAGCAGGTTGGTGGCTTCTTGGTTTAGAAAGGAGAAAGAGAGAGGAAAGGAGGAAGAAGCAGGGAGTGTTGGGGGCAGGCAGGCAGATGCTGGTGACTTTGAGCACACCCTCACTCTTGGGTGCCTAGGGCTGTCTGATTCATCCCTAGTTACCTCAGCGCTGGGGCATGGGAATGACTCAGGGGCGGGCCTGCAGCTACCTTGATTGGGAGGGAGGGTGAGAGGAGGAGCCTGCGAGCAGGGCTTGGTGCTTATAGGCCAGGGAGCTTTGCTTCTCCAGCTTGGGGTCTCTGGGAACCCAGCTGTGTATGCCCCAGGACTGCCCTGCTCCCCAGGGCAGAGCTTCCCCACCCTGCTGGCTCTACCTGGTACAGAGCTATTGGAGCAGAGCTGCATTACCTGAGGGAAGGGGCCAGGTTGGGGTCTCCCCTACTCTGACAGGCTCCTTTCTTGTCTTACAGATCGCACTCTGTCTGTAGCATCTCCTGCATGTCCAGCTGCCCTGAGCTGTCTCAAGGTAGGTGACAGTGTGTCACGCTGCCACCATGAATGAGGTGTCTGTCATCAAAGAAGGCTGGCTCCATAAGCGCGGTAAGGGGCTGCTTTTGCCCACCACGTTGTGTCTCCTTTAGCACTCAGCTCTCCCTTTTCTATTTTTTTGGAGACAGGTTCTCTTGAGTATAGTCCAGGCTCGCCTTGAACTCACTATGTATCATGGTGAGCCTTGAACTCAGGCAGCCTTCCTGTGTCAGCCTCCCAAGTGCTTGGCTTACAGGCATGTATCACCATGCTCAGCCAGCTCTCCTTGCATCTGGTGCCCTGAAACACAGAGGCACTGGGTGAGGAGCTTGTGTGCCCAGCCTCCACCCGTATGCCTACTTCACAGAGCCCTTCAGGGTTGTCTGGGAGGGAGATAAGGATCTGCCTGGGCTGAGTCTCCAGGCCTGGATGGACTTCTGAGCCCAGAGGTCAGCCTTCAGGGTCTCCCTCTGGGTTTGTGGGCTCATTCATAGCCCAATTTTTTGGATGAAGAAATGAACCAAGGCTCAGAGAGGGGAAGTCACTTTGCTGAAGTAACGTGGCAAGGCAGTAGACTCCATTTCATTCAACAAGTGTCGACTGTGATGCACCACATTGCCCAGGGCTCTAGGACATAGTGGCACCCTCATGGAGTTTGCGTTCCAGCAAGGGATGGGGACAAACAATAAGCAGACATATGACTTCAGGTGGTGATAAGTGCTGTTGGGAAGAGGAGAAGCTGAGGAGTGAGCGGCCAGAGGGAGATGGATTGGTCAGGAGGCCACGCAAGGAGTGAGTGAACAGAGCCCTGAGAGAGACGCAGGCCTTAGTCTTGTGGTCAGCTGCGCAAGGGTGTCCTGGGAGGGATTGCAAGGACACAGACTGGGCCGGGAGTGTGCCTGTTTTCTAGGAACAGCCTGGCAAGAGTGGAGTGAACAAGGGCGAGACGGGGTAACACGGTCCTGCCGTACTGGGTGGGCCCTGTAGGTCACAGAGGACCTTGACTCTTAACTGCAGGCGTAGGAAGCTCTGGGACGCTGTGAGCCAGAATGTGACCGAGTCACTTGTACTGATGGGAAGCTGAGGCCATGTGAAGTCATGGAGAGGAAGAGGGCAGGCTTCACAGCCCAAGGCCACTTGTCCCCACACAGCAGTGGAACCACGTAAAGCTGGGAGGCAACTAGGAGGAAGGACATGCCGAGAGCCAGCTTTTCCCCTACCTAGCTTCAGGGACCTCCTCCGTGGGCAGGAGAGATGCCAGGCCTGTGGGCAGCTGCTCTCTGTGCAGTTTGATTCATCTAGCAGACATTTATGGAGCAGTCAGTATAGGCCAGGCACTGTCCTAGGTGTTAGTGAGTTGACATCTCATCCGCTTGCTTCCTCGCAGGGGCAGGTGGCCCCAGCAAGGGACACATGTTCAGTGATGGTCCATGCTGTAGAGGGTGGGCGGAAGCAGGGCAGCCATCCTAAATCATGTTTGTTTGCACCCCTCCCCAGAGCCAGATTTCTGTGTCAGAATAAGCAGAGGGGACCCATTTCCAGCTGCCCTTTCCAGCTAGAGGCAGGAATCAAGGCATCTTACGCCAGCTCCCCCTTCTGAGCCCTGAGTTTGGGGCTCCCAGTGGAGTTTTCTAAACTTTGGAAAAAGGCATCAGGGTTGTAATCCTGACATTGTTACTTCCTGTCAGTATGATGCTGGGTTAAGGTGTGTCAACCTTGCAGATTTTACACCTGCAGAATGGATCAACAGTCCAGGCCTCTGATTGCTGTACTATGAGGTCATGGATTTTCATTGGTGTTTCATTCACCAAGGTCTCCCTAGCACCTCAAAAAAAGTGTTTGCAGGTAAGTACAGTGGTACATATCTGTAATCTCAGCTACTTTGAAGACTGAGAGAGAAGGATCGTGTATTTGAGACCAGTCAAGGCAGCTTGGCAAGAACCTGTCTGAAAAAGGGGTGGCTTAGGCCGGCCAGATAGCTCAGCAGATTAAAGTGTCTGCTTAGGCAGATGCAGGGACTGGGGGTTTGATCCCTGGTGTGTGGTGCTGGACCTGCCCTCGGGGTGTGCTGAGACAGCAATTAAGACGGGACCTGGTGGCGCATGCCTGTAGTCCCAGCGCTTGGGAGGCTGAAAACAAGAGGATCACCACGAGTCCAATCTGTAATGAGACACTGTAGACCCTGTAGACCATGTACTAAATACATTTGAGAGAGAGAGAGAGAGAGAGAGAGAGAGAGAAAGGGGTGGCTTGCCTGTTGTGGTGGCCCGTGCTGGTAATCCCAGCCAGCACTTGGGAGGTTAAGGCAGGAGGATCATTGGGAGTTTGAGACCAGGTTGGGCTACAAATTAAGTTGCATAGCAAGACTCTCTCTCAAAAAGACTAAAAAACCAAAACAACAATAACAAAAAAGTGGGGTGGGGTGCTTGAGGGTATGGCTCAGTGGTGGAGCACTTGCCTGCCATACTGGGTTCTATTCCCATCACCACACCCCCAGCCCTTCGTGTTCTTGACATGCCATAGGCGCTCAGTAAATGATCCTTGAGTGACAGAGTGCTTAGGTGTAAGGGGGACACCAGAGTCTTGGGCTCCTGGTTACTCAGCTCGAGTGTCCCAAGGCCCATGGCTCACTGGGCTCGGTACAAGGAGCTGGGGAGGTGATACAGGAGCAGAGGGGTGTGGAACTCTTCTCTCTCGTCTAGACTCAGCTGTTGCCAGTAAGTGAGTTTGCGCCCATCTTTGGGCTTTGCTGTCGTCATTTATGCCACAAGGGCCAAGTAAGCTGGCCACAGGCGTGTCCCTGTCTGCAGGGCCAGCCTGGCGTGGACACACCTGCATTGGTTTTCACAGCACACAAGCTCATGTGCTCCTGGGCCTCCCTGGTGCCCAGGATCTGAGCTCAGCTGGCAGAGTGTGTCAGCCTGTTGCTGTTCTGGCATCTGTACCATCCCACCCCAGCTCTGCTGCTTATGATGGCTGCCCTGGTTTGCTGAATGCCCACTCTGCCAGGTCCGAGGCTCTGCCCCAGGCCAGTGTTGGATTTTCACAGATGGCCTTTGAGGTGGCTGCCATCTTACAGATGAGCAGCAAGCACAGTTGCCCACGGTTTCAGCAAGGAGGCAGAGCTGAGGTTGGCCTCAGTCCCACAAACTGCTGAACTGACGCACTGCCTCTGGCTTAGCATGCCCTTGGAGTGCAGCTGAGCAGAGTCCCTTGTGTGTGTGCTGCAGGCAGCGGAGGCCCAACCTTGGCCAGGCTCTGCCTGGGCCTCCTCTGCTTGTGTAGAGGCGCACACCTGGGGTCAGGAGTGTGGGCTGTGGGATGTGAGCTGGCTCTTTTAGGTGCTGGCTGGGAAGAGCCTTGGCAAGGAAAGGCTCCTTCCTCTCTGTGCCTCAGTCTCCTCAACTGGAAATCGGAGAAGACTGGGAGACCATTTTCCTTTCTTTCTAGGTTACTTTTCTTGTTACCAAGTTGTAAAACACCACAGACAAAACCCTGTATCATTAACCCGCCCCCATGTCAGTGTCCTGAGAGAGAACAAAGAGAGCCAGATGGTTGCCAGAAGCCCCAAGTTCTTCCCAAGCAGAAACTGCAGATTAAGAGAGCAGTTTTGTTTTTTAGATGCAGGATCTCACTGTGTAATTCAGGCTGGCCTTGAACTTGTGGCGATCCTCCTGCCTCAGCCTCCCAAGAACTAAGATTACAGGCATGCAGCTTTATGCTGGGCTCTTTTCTTTTTAAAAAATTTATTTATTGGGGCTGGTGAGATGGCTCAGTGGTCTAAAGCACCTACTTAGAACAAGCTTAGCAAAGCACAGGGGCCGTGGTTCAATCCCCCAGCACCACATGCCAGCCAGCCCC